GTGTCAATACCAAGAGAGGGAAAATTGCTTTTGTAGTGAGCCAGCCAGTCCCAGTCCCTATTCAAGCCCAAATTAATGGTGTTAAATTTGCAAATGAATTGTAGCTCTGCAGTTTCTCCTTGAAGTCTATTTTTGAAGTTTTTTTGTTGAAGTATGGCTACTTTTAAATCTGTTATAGAATGTCCAGGGAGATTGAAATGTTCTCCTACTGGCTTTTGTATGTTACCATTCCTGATGTCTGATTTGAGCCCATTTATTCTTTTACATAGCGATGTCTGATTTGTGTCCATTTAGAGCTTTAATAATAGACAATTATTATTTATCCATGTGGCCATGCCATCATTTCATAAACACTTTCAATTATTCTACTCACAAAAATTCCTCCCCAGAATGGGTACCCCACGATGCCAGAGACGTAAATATATTTAATGAAAATTGTAGAGACACCTCCAAAGCCGATGTGTATCAGCCCAATCAAGATCTGGATGGCCTGTGGGAAGAGAATGGGGCAGTAAGAGGAACCAATTCCCCCCCACCTTGGGGATGAGCAGAACACCCTGTCCTGACCAGAGCTGATTAGAAATTGGAATTTCCATCCTGTGGGAAATTCTGATCTTTAGACTGTTGTTTTAATCTGAAACTGAAAATTTTCAGTTTGGAAACATTTCATTCCAGTTTGTCAAACCGTCACCTTATAGGAGTTGTAGTTGGCATACCATTCTCTTCTATGGGCTAGACTTCCTACATGGACTACATCTCCCATGCGCAATCAGGGGCCTCTCATGGCATACCATGGTGGTTCAGTAAAATGAGAAGACTGCAGTGCAGTTGGGAAGGTGCAGTTTGGAATAGGGAGCTAGTCCTATTGGGAAGAATCACCTCCACTTCCTTGAGGTATCGTAGCCGCTCACGTGGATGCCGTTTAATGTCAAATTGACCTGAGAGGAAACATTTCAATTCAGTTTGACAAATTGAGGTAGTTTGATTTGGGAAGATCCAACCCAAAACCAAAATATTTTGTTTTGATTTTTCCAATGGAAATCTTTGATTTTTGCGGGAACTACATTTCCCATTGAAAAAATGTCAACCTCCCTACCCCCCGCAATGGTCCCCTCAGCAGGAAGGTTCTCTGGCCTGTGATATACAGGAAGTCAGTGGTCCCTTCTGGACTTCAAATCTATTAACTCATTTGCTTATTTATCTATATAATGGTAAATAACCAATCATGGGCTTATCCACGTAGACTGATGGATAGAAGTTGCTGGTTGGTTGATTTCACTAGCAGTGCAAGGGTGAATGGAACAGGTCTCCACTGCAGTAACTGGGGCCTGGTCTACACTATGACTTTAATTCGGATTTAGCTGCGTTAATCCGAATTAATCCTTAACCCGTCCACACAACAGAGCCCTTCGAATTAAAGGGCGCTTAAAATCGATTTCTGTACTCCACCCCGACGAGCGGAGTAGCACCAAAATCGATTTTGTTAATTCGAATTAGGGGTAGTGTGGCCGCACACCACCGAATTAATGTGGTTAAAAACCGAATTAATGTGCTTAGTGTGGCCGCGCACAATCGAATTTATACAATCTGTTTCCCAAATTCGAATTATCTAAATTCGAATTAATCTCGTAGTGTAGACGTACCCTAGGAGTGGGACCCTAGGTTTGAACTGCTTCTTCTCAGACCAGATCCTTGGCCAGAGTGAATTAGCACAATGGAGCTACATCGATTTACACCAGTTGAATAGCCATCCCATCCTCCCCAAGATGGGGCTGTTTCATTCCATTAGTTCCAGAAATAACTGGTTTATAATCCTTTCCCCCATTTCTCCTTTGCTTGATTAATCTTCATTTCTGCCTGTTTGGGTAGCTAGGAGGATTCACTGCCCCTGGAACTCTGGGTGTATTTCCATCCACTGCCTCTTACAAAGCAATGAAGTTTCAAGAGGAGGCCTGATGGTACCAGTTTCTTGGCATCCTTCCCATAAAGCTGATTGTTAAAGTAAAAAAGAAAAGGGTGGAATCTGGAGTTTGCTTATGCTCAGTCATTCACCTACCTGTTCAGGCCCTTCGATATTGAAATGACTCATTCTCATGGACTGAGAGCAAAGATCACACTTACCCCCAGGGTCTTGGGCTGTGCTTTGAGGAATATCTCCATCATCCCTACTTTCCTTAGCTGCACGACCTGTTCAGCGGGACTCCCAGGGTACATTGACCCAAGAGGTTGGTTCCCAGGGTTCATGACTGTGAACTGAGGCCCACATTGCATCATCTCAGGATTCTGGGAAATGGCACCGGAGACTCCTTGGTCTTGGTGGATGATGCCGGCACTGTTTGGGGGCATGAACAGAAGCACCCCATTGGCCGTGTTTCCTGGTGCTGCCATGATGATGAAGATGCTGCAGAAAAGAGTGATTGGCCCAGATTAAGCCATAGGTAATAACACGGGTCCTAGAATTAGCCACTAGGCCATGCTGAGTAGGAATCTTAGTTACCTATTGCTCAACCCCTTTTGAGTCCCTGTCATGATTTTGTCCTTCGCATGGAGCTATAATTGGAGCACTAGCAACACCCAAAGATAAGGGTTGAGATTTCAAAAGCTGCCTGAAGGATTCAGCCACACAACTCCCATTAATTTCATAACAACCATCTTGTTGGCTTTTAAAATCTCAACCAAGGAGCTCAAGTGTTCCCATTCCACCCTCGTTTTCCAGATAACTTTCTGGATCTTTCAGTTTTCGGGATGGAATTTTCCAGAGCTGTGTAACTGATTATCCTAGGGTCGATAGAGGCACAAAGGCTCTGCTGTTGCTCCCATTGAAGCGAAGGAAACATTCCCATTAACGCCAAAGGCATGGGATCAGACTCAAAAACATCTACAAAAGAGCTGGCCAAAAATTTTCCATCAAACTGTTTTTCACTGGAAAATTGGGTTTTCCATTAAGTGGATATTTGTGGGTGTGGAAAGGGTCTCCTTTTCACAGAACTTCAAGTTTTCATAAAAAAACGGAAAGCTCTAAACTAGAAATATTACAATTCAGCTATGCTGCTGTGGTGCCTCATTGGATTTGTAGTTCAGTTGCCACATATCCCCATTCTCCTCTGGAGGCTGAGTTCCTTGGCTGGACTACATCTCCCATCATGTGCCATGGACTCCCATGATGCACTGCATCCATTTCCAAGAGGAAGGACCATGATGCACCATAGGAGATGTCTGACCAGGATTCCTGGCCTACAGAGAAAAAGTGGGGCAATGAGGCACAGGAATGACAACTCCTATGAGTCAGCATTTCCAAATTAAAATATTTCGATATTCAGAGTTCCACTGAAAATTGAATTTTTCTCTGGAAAAAAATGAGATTTTCAACCATCTCTAGTTAACAACACAAAGGCTTATTAACACTCTAAAAGAAATATTGCTGCAGAGGGTTATATGTGTATTTCCTATTTTGTGAGACATTTACAGGTCCTCCCACATGGCAATGTACAGCATTAACCCCATAAGGGCCCAGTCTTCACAACACTCCTGGCTGCTGCTAGGTTTGGCTTGTTAAGAGGCTCCAGATATTTTTGAAGTGTTAACAAGCACTGGAAAGCAGGTTGTGGTCACGATCTATAAGTGGGGAGACGATTTCTAAGGATAGAGGGCTCTTTCATTTGGCAGACAAAGCCATAACAAGATGTAGTGGCTGGATGCTCGAGCTACATACATTCAGTTTAGTGCAAGCAGGAATTAAGGGGCTTGAAGCAGAAATCCCTGGGGGGAAGTTCTATGGCCTCTGTTACAGAGGAGATCAGACTAGATGACCATAATGATTCCTTCAGGCCCCGAAAGCTCTCAATTTAAATGCCATTCTAACCTATGTGGGTAGTAAGGAGGAAGGAAAGGCTAAAGGGCCTTGGGAATAGTCAGGACTGTCTCTTCCTTCCCAGAGATTCTATTCTCTCCAACCTTTGCAACCCCCTTTTGTCCCATTTCTGTTTCCCTTTCACTGTCCAGGCCAGAGTACTTTGTTCCTTTGCTTGGGAATGTTGTGGGGGTGGGAAGGTGGCAGAGTGACACCGCATGTGCCTGTATTCCTAAAATAACCAGAGGCACCACCCTTTGGAAGCACCAAGTGCTTACCTCAGATCCAACTGTTATTAGACAGGAGACGTCACAGACCATGTCAAGGCCATCCCGATCTCTGAACCTTGCCCCTTCTACCCACTGGCTAGCGATGATGCATGAAAAGTTTTGGGTGAATGCAAGCAAGTTGTGTCACTGCTCCATCCTTCTGTATGAACATTTTCTAGAGGTCTGAAAGGTGCCACTTGCTCTCACAGGAGCATATTTCTTTGAGCCACAAATTTCTCCTCCTCTCCTCTCTCCCCTGCGTGTCAGGTAATGGGATCTGCTGCTCTTTAAATTCTGACCTTATTTTCCCTCAACTCTAGAGGCAGAAACTACAAGAGTCCTGTAAGAACATCAGGGTGTCCCCACAGCCTCCCCCAGTGTGGCCCCCAACACCCAATTTTAACGGTCACCCTAAGAATGTTTGCGCTGATGAACTTACTCTGTTTTCGCTGCAGCCGCTGTCCTCCTTCCAGCTGTGGGCGACTCCAAGGATCATCAGGAAATTCTCACAGGCTCATGCAAAAGGGATTTTAATAGCATCAGACTTTGAATCCTCCCTGCCTGTTATGCTTAGCTCCTCCCTCTGTCTTTGCCTTGTTTTATTGCAGGACTCCAAAGTCCTCTTCCTCTTTGGATGTTTTTTCTTCATCCCCCTCAGAGTCCCTCGTGTGCCTTTTCCGCACCCTAGTCACCATCCCTTCTGGCTCAGAACACATGGGGCTCCCCATAGGAGCCCACCAACACTGCTCTTTGGCCACTGGGGCACTACAGAATGAAATGAGACCCTTCCTTTTCCTCTTTGCCTAGAGGGAATTGCCACAAAAGTAATGAGGGCTGGCTGGACATTTTCTGATCAAAACTTTTCATCAGGAAAATCTGGTTTTTGACTAAACAAAAATGTTATCAGGAAGCACCAGCTTTCCCCCAAATTGGTTGATGTTTCATAGGAAAGCTGAACAGCCTGAAAAAACATTTATGTCCGTAAATTGAAAAATTTTCAGATTTTTGAAGAAAACTAGGAATTTTCCACTGAAAATTATGATGTGAATAACCTTTTTGTTTTAATGAAATTTTCTATGGGAAAAAAAGCCCTTTTTCCAAACAGCTCTAATAAGTGCTTTCGGGACTTACCTAGTGCTTTTCATCTCCAAGGCGCTCTCTCTCCTTCTGTAGCATCCCCGAGACAGCATCTAAGCATCGTAAACATTTAGGAACTTCTTATTCGGCATTTACCCCTAAGGCCTTGGCTACACTCGCGGATTCACAGCGCTGCCGCGGCAGCGCTGTGAAGTGCGAATGCAGTCGCACCGCCAGAGCTCTCTCGCAGCGCTGCAAGTACTCCACCTCTCCGAGGGGAATAGCTTGCAGCGCTGCAGGCGCTGATTACACTGGCGCTTTACAGCGCTGCACTCGCTGTGCTCAGGGGGGGGGTGTTTTTTCACACCCCTGAGCGCAGCAAGTGCAGCGCTGTGAATTGCCAGTGTAGCCAAGGCCTAAGAGAGCTTATGAGGCTCTGTGGTCTTAAATGCCAGCTGGCTCTTGCTACAGAACAGCTGAGAGGAAAACACCTGACAAGCCTCTGCTGCCCACAAGAACTTACCAGATGTAGGACAAGCTGATCTCCATGGGGTAGGGGTTGAAGGTAAACCCTGACCTAGAGTCCAGCAGTGCTGGATCATCGTATACAAACCAGAGCTGTATAAGAAAACTCAGACACTGCACATCCCCATAATCAGGAGACTCACACAGAACCCGGAAAGGCTGGAGTAAAGATCTCAAGCAAGGAAGAGACTCAGACTGCCTGGGTGTGACCTCAGAGAATGGCCCAGCCTATCACAACCAGATAGGTATAAACATTGCTTGTGATAACTAACAGATCAGTGACAGATGCCACACAGCCTTCCCCAATGCTTAGCTCAAAGGTAGCCAGTGAATAATGAGGAAGAGAAGAATTTAAGGGCTTAGGCTAGGTCTACACTACCCGCCTGAATTGGCAGGTAGAAATCGATCTCTCGGGGATCGAATTATCGCGTCTCGTCGGGACGCGACAATCGATCCCCGAATCGACGCTCTTACTCCACCAGCGGAGGTGGGAGTAAGCGCTGTCGACTGGGAGCCGTGGAGGTCGATTTTGCCGCCGTCCTCACAGCGGGGTAAGTCGGCTCCGATACGTCGAATTCAGCTACGCTATTCGCGTAGCTGAATTTGCGTATCTTAAATCGACCCCCCCCCCCCGTAGTGAAGACCTGCCCTCAGCATTAATGAAGAGAGACTCTCATCACTACAAAGTCTGATGTTTTTATTGCAAGTCAGGCAATATTTGGTGCTTTTCTTAAAGCCCCAGTTCTTGAAATCCTGTGATTGTGAGAGAATCTTAGCTTTCATTTTTTTAAAGAATAGTAAGTTTCTAGCCCTCATGGGAGTACAGAAAAACTATGATCCCTAGTGTCTCAGAAACCAAATACATTGGTCTACGATTTTTGAGAAGTCGTCTGCTTCAGAGATAAAATGTGCTATTTATTATGTATTTTGATGTGCTGAATTCAAATATGACAATTAAAACAACTGATTGGCTACTGTTTCTAAGATATTTAAGTTTTTACATTTTATGTCTATGTATATTGTGTAGATAGTAGAGTTTTAATCATAAATTGTAAACCTAGGTCTTTTCATATGTTTATGGTTGCTTTACATGATAATATTTCACCTGTCCTGTTTATGTAACACTTAAAAATCAGCAAAAGGGTTATATAAATAAAATTTATTATGAAACAAAATGCAAAAAACTATTCTGTACATAGTTTAGTCCTATTCAGTGTCTACTC